TTTTTGGGTTCAGTGTGATCAGATCACAATAAAAATGTCTGTTTCATGTATGACTATGAGACCACTTAAGAATTAAGGAACTGAAGTCCATGCAGGACTAATTGTGTGAGTAACATGTAGGAAATTTTTGAAAACTTTTTTATATTTTTATTCAAAGTCACTAAAGGGGTTTGGTTTATGATGTGTTTTACTTCTAGTGGCACTCAGTATACATCTGTGAAACTATAAATAGATTTTAGGTGACGACCATTTGATATTGTGGTTGTGGGAGGGGGCAGGAGGATATTCTGCAAATTGACTTATTCATTTCAAATTGTTTTCACTTTTGTACACAATTATTTCATTATCTTTAGCATATTGTGGGTTGCAGAATAATCATTTTTATCCTGCATGCCTTGTAAATATTATTTATTTTCAGTTCTTACCAGGCCAGGATATTCATTCTCAAAATTCTCCCCCGGATCATCAAATGAACGTCCCATCATCTTCAATAGGTTGTTTAATATAATGTGTGATTTTTTTTTACCAAAATTTAAAACCACATTATGGGGTATATAGGACAGACACCGGATTCAATTACGTACATGTTTTTGTATATCCATTTTTTTAAAACTAACTATATGCCCAGGGACTTTCTATACTTCTTAGTATAGAAAGTCCCTGATATGCCTTAGTATTAATTGATGATATGTTGACTAGTTACGCACAAAGATGGTCTTTAACCTTAAGTACAAATATTTATATTCAGTAGTACGTCAATAATTAGCAGTGTAAAGACAGAGTTTGTACATATACGGCCCAAATGCAAAAATTAAAAGGCCAATAAACAAGTCTCACCACTGTGCTGGTAGTGTTTCCACTGGTGAAAATGTGTATAAACTGTTGACAGTGCAAAGTAAACGACCCAAAACATTCAAAGTTAATGAACCATTGTTTTTATGTTGTGTGTAGTTTCGGCATTGTCAGATTGAGGAGGGTTCGCTCACAAACTTAGTAAACACCACCATTCTATATGGGCCTGTCCCAAGTCACATGAGTTGCATGTAATTCAGTAGTTGTTGTTTGTTGTTGTTTATCAGATTTGCTTTTTGTTTGTTGTTTTGTATATTAATCAGGTCGTTAGTTTTCTCATTTGAATTGTTTTGTCATTTCAGGGCCTTTTATAGCTTGGTTTGCGGTATGGGTTTTGCTCATTGATGAAAGTTGTATGGTGGCATATAGTTGCGAACTTTTTACCTAATTTGGTCTCTGGAGCAGTTATTGTAATTGGCAATCAAACCACATCTTAATTTTACATGACTGAAAATACAGGGTCAAATAACCTTTGTGGAGATGATAACTGCAAACAAAATGCCATGGACTAGAGTGGTTCTCATTCAATTCACTGGTGCCTGTAATTGCTTACATCCACTTCATTTGAACATTGGTGGATAGTTGTCTCATTGGCAATCATACCACATCTCCTTATTTTCATACTAATAAATAAATGTGGATAGTGTCCACATGTGGACACAGATGATGCCCCCGCTTGCATATCATATAGTTATAAAGGGACATAACTGAGGAACGGTAAAAGTGACGCTACCCAAATTTGAACTTGATCGGATTTTTGTGGTAATAAGCATTGTGTATAAGTCTCATAACATTTAGTTGAGGCTAACTTAAGTAGAAAACAGAAACTAATAAAATGCTCCGCAGGGCGCAGCTTGATACGACCGCAGAGGTCGAACCCTGAACAGTTGGGGCAACAAGTATGGACACAACATTCAAGCTTGATACAGCTCTGAATTTGGATTGTGATTAAATATTTGACACAGCATAGGTTTCTGACACAGAATGAATGTGGTCTTAGAACTTAAAAATTTTATTAAATTGGACATTCACCTATTATGGTCCAATATCCAAAATCTAAATACATGGTTAGATCAGCATATCAAAGAACCCCAAGAATTCAATTTTTGATGAAATCAAATAAAGTTTAATTTTGGACCCTTTTGACCTCAATGTGGACAAAGTTGATAATGGGGCCCAAAAATCAAAAATCTAAATACATGGTTAGATTCAGCATATCAAAGAACCCCATATATTCAATTTTTGTTGAAATCAAACAAAGTTTAATTTTGGACCCCGATTTGGACCAACTTGAAAACAGGGCCCATAATCAAAAATCTAAATACATGTTTAGATTCAGCATATCTAAGAACCCTAAGAATACAATTTTTGTTAAAATTAAACTAAGTTTAATTTTGGACCCTTTGGACCTTAATGTAGACCAATTTGAAAACGGAACCAAAAATTAAGAATCTAAATACACGGTTAGATTCGGCATATCAAAGAACCCCAATAATTCAATTTTTGATGAAATCAAACAAAGTTTAATTTTGGACCCTAAGGACCTCAATGTGGACCAATTTAAAAACGGGGCCCAAAATCAAAAAACTTAATACACGGTTAGAATCAGCATATTAAAGAACCCTAAGAATTCAAGAATAAAACCCCACTGAAATTGGTCAAGAAATAAGCAATTTATACGAAGTATCTTCTTTTGCACAATACTGTGCAATTGAATATTTCTTGCTATTGCGCAATACTGTACAATTGACAATTTCTTGCTATTGCGCAATATTGTGCTATTGGATATTTCTTGCTATTGCACAATACTGTGCAATTGAAGATTTCTTGCTATTGCGCAATACTGTGCAATTGAAGATTTCTTGCTATTGTGCAATACTGTGCAATTGAAAATTTCTTGCTATTGCACAATACTTATTATATAATAATTTACACATCCTGTTTGGTGTGTATCTCCTACCATATCATTATTATTTGCTTTTAAATATAAAACAGAAATAACCAACTTAAAATGGAAAATTTTAAAAGAAAAAAAAAAGAAAAAAAAAGGAACCCCCCCCCCCAATTTTTTGAACCCCCTTATGATTCATCACCCCCAAACTCAATCCCAGCCTTCCCTTTGTGGTATGGTACCTTGCAGTACAATTTCAGAGAGATCCATACACTTGAACACAAGTTATTGTCTGGAAACTAGAAAATTTCTTATTTTTGGCCCCTTATTCCTAAACATTTTGGGCAATTACCCCCAAACTCAATTCCAGCTTTCCCTTTGTGATATGGAACCTTGTAGTACAATTTCAGAAAAATCCATACACTTACACACAAGTTATTGTCATGAAACTAGAAAAATGCTTGTTTTTTGTCCCTTTTTTGGCCCCTAATTCCTAATATTTTGAGGCAATTACCCCCACCCCCCCCCCCCCACCCCCCAAAATCGATCCCAGCATTCCCTGTGTGATATGGAACCTTGTGGTACAATGTCAGAGAGATCCATACACTAACACACAAGTTATGTCTGGAAGTTAGAAAAATGCTTATTTTTGGCCCCTTTTTGGCCCCTAATTCCTTAACTGTTTATACCATAACCCCCAAAATCAATCCCAACCTTCCTTTTGTGGTATTGAACCTTATGGTAAAATTTCATAGAGATCAATTCACTTCAACTAAAGTTAGAGTGCGAAAACCAATGTGTCTTCGGACGACGCCGGACGACGACAACGACGACGACGACGCCAACGTCATACCAATATACGACCGCAAAAATGTTTTGCGGTCGTATAAAAATTCAGCAATTTTTCTATCTGTAAACACGCATAACTCTAGAACGGTTGTGTTTAAGTTTTATAACATTTGGTTGAGACAAACTAAAGTTAGAGAACGGAAACGAAAAATTCAGCAATTTTTATGTTTATAAAGGGACATAACTCAAGAATGGTAAAAGTGTCGCCACCAAATTTCGTACTTAATCTGTATTATGCAGTAATAAGCATTGTGTATAAGAGTCATAACATTTGGTCGAGGGAAACAAGAGTTAGAAAACGGAAACAAAAAATTTGTAATTGATCTTAGTTTTGTGGTAATGAATATTGTGTATAGGTTTCATAATGTTTGGTTTGGGCAAACTTAAGTTACAGAATGGAAACAAAAAATTTTGCAATCTTTCGATTTATAAAGGAGCATAGCTCAATAATGGTTAAAGTGACACTACCCAAATTCAACTTGATCTGTGTTTTATCAGTGGAGGTCAAAATTAAATATTGCATTGTATAAAGCATTGATTGTAGTTGATTCAACTATAATCATGGACAAAGGAAGATAACTCGCTGGGGCGCAGCCTGATACGACCGCAGAGGTCGAACCCTGAACAGTTGGGGCAAGTATGGACACAACATTCGAGCTTGATACAGCTCTGAATTTGGATTGTTATTAAATATTTGACACAGCATAGGTTTCTGACACAGAAAGAATGTGGTCTAAGAACTTGAATTTTTTTAATTTACCTATTATGGTCCAATGTCCAAAATCAAAAAACATGGTAAGATTCAGCATATCAAAGAACCCCATACATTCAATTTTTGTTAAAATCAAACAAAGTTTAATTTTGGACCCCTACTTGGACAAACTTGAAAACTGGGCCCATAATCAACAATCCAAATACATGTTTAGATTCAGCATATCAAAGGACCCAAGAATTCAATTTTTGCTAAAATCAAACTCAGTTTAATTTTGGACCCTTTGGACCTTAATGTAGACCAATTTAAAAAACGGGAATTAAAATTAGAAATCTAAATACACGGTTAGATTTGGAATATCAAAGAACCCCAATATTTTAATTTTTGATGAAATCAAACAAAGTTTAATTTTGGACCCTTTTGACCTCAATATGAACCAATTTGATAACGGGGTCCACAAATAAAAGATCTAAATACATGGTTAGATTCAGCATATCAAAGAACCCCATATATTCAATTTTTGTTGAAATCAAACAAAGTTTAATTTTGGACCCCAATTTGGACAAACTTGAAAACTGGGCCAAAAATCAAAAATCTAAATACATGTTTTGATTCAGCATATCAAAGAACCTCATATATTCAATTTTTGCTAAAATCAAACTAAGTTTAATTTTGGACCCTTTGGACCTTGATGTAGACCAATTTAAATAAAATGCTCCGCAGGGCGCAGCTTGATACGACCGCAGAGGTCGAACCCTGAACAGTTGGGGCAAGTATGGACACAACATTCAAGCTTGATACAGCTTTGCATTTGGATTGTGATTAAATATTTGACACAGCATAGGTTTCTGACAAAGAATGAATGTGGTCTAAGAACTTAAAAATTTTAAATTGGACATTCACCTATTATGGTCCAATATCCAAAATCTAAATACATGGTTAGATTCAGCATATCAAAGAACCCCAAGAATTCAATTTTTGATGAAATCAAACAAAGTTTAATTTTGGACCCTTTTGACCTCAATGTGGACAAAGTTGATAACGGGGCCCAAAAATCAAAAATCTAAATACATGGTTAGATTCAGCATATCAAAGAACCCCATATATTCAATTTTTGTTGAAATCAAACAAATTTTAATTTTGGACCCCGATTTGGACCAACTTGAAAACTGGGCCCATAATAAAAAATCTAAATACATGTTTAGATTCAGCATATCAAAGAACCCTAAGAATTCAATTTTTGTTAAAATCAAACTAAGTTTAATTTTGGACCCTTTGGACCTTAATGTAGACCAATTTGAAAACCGAACCAAAAATTAAGAATCTAAATACACGGTTAGATTCGGCATATCAAAGAACCCCAATAATTCAATTTTTGATGAAATCAAACAAAGTTTAATTTTGGACCCTTTTGACCTCAATGTGGACAAAGTTGATAACGGGACCCAAAAATCAAAAATCTAAATACATGGTTAGATTCAGCATATCAAAGAACCCCATATATTCAATTTTTGTTGAAATCAAACAAATTTAATTTTGGACCCCGATTTGGACCAACTTGAAAACTGGGCCCATAATCAAAAATCTAAATACATGTTTAGATTCAGCATATCAAAGAACCCTAAGAATTCAATTTTTGTTAAAATCAAACTAAGTTTAATTTTGGACCCTTTGGACCTTAATGTAGACCAATTTGAAAACGGAACCAAAATTTAAGAATCTAAATACACGGTTAGATTCGGCATATCAAAGAACCCCAATAATTCAATTTTTGATGAAATCAAACAAAGTTTAATTTTGGACCCTTTGGACCTCAATGTGGACCAATTTAAAAACGGGGCCCAAAATCCAAAAACTAAATACACGGTTAGATTCAGCATATTAAAGAACCCCAAGAATTCAAGAATAAAACCCCATTGAAATTGGTCAAGAAATAAGCAATTTATACAAAGTATCTTCTTTTGCACAATACTGTGCAATTAAATATTTCTTGCTATTGCGCAATACTGTACAATTGACAATTTCTTGCTATTGCGCAATATTGTGCTATTGGATATTTCTTGCTTTTGCGCAATACTGTGCAATTGAAGATTTCTTGCTATTGCACAATACTGTGCAATTGAAGATTTCTTGCTATTGTGCAATACTGTGCAATTGAAAATTTCTTGCTATTGCACAATACTTATTATATAATAATTTACACATCCTGTTTGGTGTGTATCTCCTACCATATCATTATTATTTGCTTTTAAATATAAATCAGAAATAACCAACTTAAAATGGAAAATTTTAAAAGAAAAATTTTAAAAAATGAAAAAAAGAAAAAAAATGAAAAAAAAAAAAATCCCCCCCCCAAATTTTTTGAACCCCCTTATGATTCATCACCCCCAAACTCAATCCCAGCCTCCCTTTGTGGTATGGTACCTTGCAGTACAATTTCAGAGAGATCCATACACTTGAACATAAGTTATTGTCTGGAAACTAGAAAAATGTGTTTTTTGGCCCCTTTTTGGCCCCAAATTCCTAAAATATTGAGGCAATTACCCCCATCATCAATCCCAGCCTTCCCTTTGTGGTATGGTACCTTGCAGTACAATTTCAGAGAGATCCATACACTTACACACAAGTTATTGTCCTGAAACTGTAAAAATGCTTGTTTTTTTGCCCCTTTTTGGCCCCTTATTCCTAAAATATTGAGGCAATTACCCCCATCATCAATCCCAGCCTTCCCTTTGTGGTATGGTACCTTGCAGTACAATTTCAGAGAGATCCATACACTTGAACACAAGTTATTGTCTGGAAACTAGAAAAATGCTTATTTTTGGCCCCTTTTTGGCCCCCAATTCCTAAATATTTCGGCTATTACCCCAAAACTCAATTCCAGCTTTCCCTTTATGATATGGAACCTTGTAGTACAATTTCAGAAAGATCCATACACTTACAAGTTATTGTCATGAAACTAGAAAAATGCTTGTGTTTTGCCCCTTTTTTGGCCCCTAATTCCTAAAATTTTGAGGCCATTACCCCCAAAATCAATCCCAGCATTCCTTTTGTGATATGGAACCTTGTGGTACAATGTCAGAGAGATCCATACACTAACACACAAGTTATGTCTGGAAGTTACAAAAATGCTTATTTTTGGCCCCTTTTTGGCCCCTAATTCCTTTACTGTTGGTACCATAACCCCCAAAATCAATCCCAACCTTCCTTTTGTGGTATTGAACCTTGTGGTAAAATTTCATAGAGATCCATTCACTTAAACTAAAGTTAGAGTGCGAAAACCAATGTGTCTTCGGACGACGCAGGACGACGCCGGACGACGACGACGACGACGACGACGTCATACCAATATACGACCACAAAAATTTTTTTGCGGTCGTATAAAAACGGGACTTTAAATTAGAAATCTAAATACACGGTTAGATTTGGAATATCAAAGAACCCCAATAATTCAATTTTTGATGAAATCAAACAAAGTTTAATTTTGGACCCTTTTGACCTCAATATGAACCAATTTGATAGTGGGGCCACAAATAAAAAATCTAAATTCATGGTTAGATTCAGCATATCAAAGAACCCCATATATTCAATTTTTGTTGAAATCAAAAAAAAAAATTAATTTTGGACCCCAACATGGACCAGTTTGAAAGCTGGGCCCATAATCAAAAATCTAAACACATGTTCAGATTCAGCATATCAAAGAACACCAAGAATTCAATTTTTGCTAAAATCAAACTAAGTTTAATTTTGGACCCTTTGGACCTCAATGAAGACCAATTTAAAAAACGGGACCCAAATTAAAAATCTAAAAACACGGTTAGATTTGGCATATCAAAGAACCCCAATAATTCAATTTTTGATGAAATAAAACAAAGTTTAATTTTGGACCCTTTTGACCTCAATATGAACCAATTTGATAGCCGGGCCCACAAATAATAAATCTAAATACATGGTTAGATTCAGCATATCAAAGAACCTCATATATTCAATTTTTGTCGAAATCAAACAAAGTTTAATTTTGGACCCCAATTTGGACCAACTTGAAAACTGGGCCCATAATCAAAAATCTAAATACATGGTTAGATTCAGCATATCAAAGAACCCCATATATTCAATTTTTGTTGAAATCAAACAAAGTTTAAATACTGGACCCTATCTTGGACCAACTTGAAAACTGGGCCCATAATCAAAAATCTAAACACATGTTTAGAATCAGCATGTCAAAGAACCCCAAGAATTCAATTTTTGTTAAATTCAAACTAAGTTTAATTTTGGACCCTTTGGACCTTAATGTAGACCAATTTAAAAAACAGGACCCAAAATTAAAAATCTAAATACACGGTTAGATTTGGAATATCAAAGAACCCCAATAATTCAATTTTAGATGAAATCAAACAAAGTTTAATTTTGGACCCTTTTGACCTCAATATGAACCAATTTGATAAAGGGGTCCACAAATAAAAAATCTAAATACATGGTTAGATTCAGCATATCAAAGAACCCCATATATTCAATTTTTGTTGAAATCAAACAAAGTTTAATTTTGGACCCCAATTTGGACCAACTTGAAAACTGGGCCAAAAATCAAAAATCTAAATACATGTTTAGATTCAGCATATCAAAGAACCTCATATATTCCATTTTTGCTAAAATCAAACAAAGTTTAATTTTGGACCCTTTGGACCTTAATGTAGACCAATTTGAAAACTGGACCCAAAATTAAAAATCTAAATACACTGTTAGATTCGGCATAACAAATAAATAAATGTGATCAAAGATTTTACAAATCTAATGCGCCATACTGTGCAATTAAAGATTACTTCTTGAAATTTTTCAATATTTGAAATTTGAAAAAAAAATAATATTTGAAGAATAATTCTTTTTAATTTCTGAAATCTGAAATGTGAAAAAATTGACCCCCCACAATTTTTTTTATCCCCCCCCCCCTTTTTTCCCAAAAAAAATTCTTTCCCTCAAGATATGGTCATAATTTCAATTCAAATTTCCAATGGAGTTGGCAACCATAATTACCCATTTAAATTTACCATAGTGCTAACTTAATCTATTTTATAATAGAATTAATAAAATGCTCCGCAGGGCGCAGCTTGATACGACCGCAGAGGTCGAACCCTGAACAGTTGGGGGAAGTATGGACACAACATTCAAGCTTGATACAGCTTTGGATTTGGATTGTGATTAAATATTTGACACAGCATAGGTTTCTAACACAGATTGAATGTGGTCTAAGAACTTAAAAATTTTAAATTGGACATTCACCTATTATGGTCCAATATCCAAAATCTAAATACATGGTTAGATTCAGCATATCAAAGAACCCCAAGAATTCAATTTTTGATGAAATCAAACAAAGTTTCATTTCGGACCCTTTTGACCTCAATGTGGACAAAGTTGATAACGGGGCCCAAAAATCAAAAATCTAAATACATGGTTAGATTCAGCATATCAAAGAACCCCATATATTCAATTTTTGTTGAAATCAAACAAAGTTTAATTTTGGACCCCGATTTGGACCAACTTGAAAACTGGGCCCATAATCAAAAATCTAAATACATGTTTAGATTCAGCATATTAAAGAACCCTAAGAATTCAATTTTTGTTAAAATCAAACTAAGTTTAATTTTGGACCCTTTGGACCTTAATGTAGACCAATTTGAAAACGGAACCAAAAATTAAGAATCTAAATACACGGTTAGATTCGGCATATCAAAGAACCCCATATATTCAATTTTTGTTGAAATCAAACAAAGTTTAATTTTGGACCCCGATTTGGACCAACTTGAAAACTGGGCCCATAATCAAAAATCTAAATACATGTTTAGATTCAGCATATCAAAGAACCCTAAGAATTCAATTTTTGTTAAAATCAAACTAAGTTTAATTTTGGACCCTTTGGACCTTAATGTAGACCAATTTGAAAACGGAACCAAAATTTAAGAATCTAAATACACAGTTAGATTCGGCATATCAAAGAACCCCAATAATTCAATTTTTGATGAAATCAAACAAAGTTTAATTTTGGACCCTTTGGACCTCAATGTGGACCAATTTAAAAACGGGGCCCAAAATCCAAAAACTAAATACACGGTTATATTCAGCATATTAAAGAACCCCATGAAATCAAGAATAAAACCCCATTGAAATTGGTCAAGAAATAAGCAATTTATAGGAAGTATCTTCTTTTGCACAATCCTGTGCTATTAAATATTTCTTGCTATTGCGCAATACTGTACAATTGACAATTTCTTACTATTGCGCAATATTGTGCTATTGGATATTTCTTGCTATTGCGCAATACTGTGCAATTGAAGATTTCTTGCTATTGCGCAATACTGTGCAATTGAAGATTTCTTGCTATTGTGCAATACTGTGCAATTGAAAATTTCTTGCTATTGCACAATACTTATTATATAATAATTTACACATCCTGTTTGGTGTGTATCTCCTACCATATCATTATTATTTGATTTTAAATATAAATCAGAAATAACCAACTTAAAATGGAAAATTTTAAAAGAAACAAAAAAGGAAAAAAAGAAAAAAAAGGAAAAAAAAATAAATCCCCCCCCCAAAATTTTTTGAACCCCCATTATGATTCATCACCCCAAAACTCAATCCCAGCCTTCCCTTTGTGGTATGGTACCTTGCAGTACAATTTCAGAGAGATCCATACACTTGAACACAAGTTATTGTCTGGAAACTAGAAAAAAATGTGTTTTTTTGGCCCCTTTTTGGCCCCAAATTCCTAAACGTTTAGGGCAATTACCCCCAAACTCAAACCCAGCTTTCCCTTTGTGATATGGAACCTTGTAGTACAATTTCAGAAAGATCCATACACTTACACACAAGTTATTGTCATGAAACTAGAAAAATGCTTGTTTTTGCCCCTTTTTTGGCCCCTAATTCCTAAAATTTGGAGGCAATTACCCCCAAAATCAATCCCAGCATTCCTTTAGTGATATGGAACCTTGTGGTACAATGTCAGAGAGATCCATACACTAACACACAAGTTATGTCTGGAAGTTACAAAAATGCTTATTTTTGGCCCCTAATTCCTTAACTGTTATTACCATAACCCCCAAAATCAATCCCAACCTTCCTTTTGTGGTATTGAACCTTGTGGTAAAATTTCATAAAGATCCATTCACTTAAACTAAAGTTAGAGTGCGAAAACCAATGTGTCTTCGGACGACGCCGGACGACGCCGGACGACGACGACGACGACGACGACGACGACGATGACGCCGGACGACGACGACGCCAACGTCATACCAATATACGACCACAAAAAATTTTTTGCGGTCGTATAAAAATATAGTGTCAAATCTTTCATATGGATTTTTTTGTAAAAAAAAAGATGCAACATTTGCAGATATTTTTACTGGTCTACCTTTATAAATATGCATTTCTTTAAACATAATTTAAAAGCAGTGTAAGGGAAGTAACCAAAACGTTGTATTTGGATTACCTCCCTTACACTGTTTTAAATTATCTTTATTGTTCATTAACCATTACTTTATACATAATTTAAAAGCAGTGTAAGGGAGATAATTTCAATGATGTATTTGATTTATCTCCCTTACACTGCTTTAAATTGTTTTGTAATAAAGTATTTGTCCATTAACCAGGACAACCTTGTTTTTCCCCCTTTTTTGCCCCTAATTCCTAAACGGTTTGAGCCATAACCCCCCAAAGCAAATCCTAACCATCCCTTTGTGGTATGGAAACTTGTAGTATAATTTCAGAGAGATCCATACACCATTCCACAGTTATTGTCTGGAAACTAGAAAATGCTTATTTTTGGCCCCTAATTCCTTAACTGTTGATACCATAACCCCCAAAATCAATCCCAACCTTCCTTTTGTGGTATTTATGGTCAAATTTCAAAAAGATCCATTCACTTAAACTAAAGTTAGAGTGCGAAAACCAATGTGTCTTCGGACGACGCCGGACGACGACGCCAACGTCATACCAATATACGACCACAAAATTTTTTTGCGGTCGTATAAAAATTACTTGATATTTAGAAGAAAAAAAATTTAGCAATTTATTTTGTCATTTTTCCATTTATAAAGGGGCATAACTCTAGAACGGTTAAAGTGACGCTACCAAAATTCAATCTTGATCTGTGTTTTGATGTAATAAGCATTGTGTATAAGTTTCATAACATTTGGTTGAGGCAAACTCAAGTTAGAGAACGGAAACCAATGTTGGGACGTACGTATGTACGTACAGACGGACAAGGGTAAAACTTAATGCCCCCACCGCTACCGCGGGGGCATTAAAACTCTAACATGTAAATGGTTCGCCAGTTAACGCCTTTAGCATTCGTTTGCACCTGTCCCAATTCAGGAGCCTGTTGTTCAGTGGTTTTGTTTATTGACGTAGATCACAAGTGTTTCTTGTTTCTCGTTTTTTTTTATAGACAAGACAGTTGGTTTTCCTGTTTGAATTGTTTTACGCTAGTCATTTTGGGCCCTTTATAGCTTGCTGTTCGGTGTGAGCCAAGGCTCTGTGTTGAACGCCTTACTTTGACCTATAATTGTTAACTATTTACACATTGTGACTTGGATGGAGAGTTGTCTCATTGGCACTCATACCACATCATCTTATTTCTATGAAAACATTTCAAAGTCAATAGCACGAATAAGACCATAACTGAGGGGATGGGGCCAAATATTCCCTATGGAAATCAGATGTGACAATGCTAATACAACTGCACACTTGACATCATTTACTAATTACCACAAGTGGTCCCCTTCAACTGACTTATCACAAACTTTTAACAGGTAAACAAAACTAAAATTTCAGTCAAGACCAAAACTGAGGGTAGAGGCCATATAATCTCCATGGAAATGAGGTGTGCCAATGCTAATACAACTGCATACCAAATATCATTGATCTACCACTTGAAGTTGCCTTTAAAATGACTTTGTCATTTGGTCTCTGGTGGAGAGTTTTATACCACATCTTCTTATTTTTTTAATTAATAACAAACTAATATATTGTTGTTGCTGCCAACAAGAACTGCCAAACTATTTAAATCAACATCAGGGACAGCAACTTCAAAATACATGTAGATCGAGATTTTTTCTAAAATAAAGCCTGTTGTGCTGACCATGTTTTTCATCATTAGTTTTTATAAACTTGCTTTAGTTTTTGAGGTATTAGCCAAAGACTGCAGTTAGGTCCCATGTTCTATTTTAAGCTATGCTAGTCATGTTCGTTGATCAACCTAAAAAAACCATCTCAAACTTCAAAGTAAACATCCTATAGATGAAGCAGACTAACTTTGATTGCAATCCATAAAGCAGTTTCAGAGAAGAAAATTTTTTAAAGAAAATTTATGGACAACAGACAGATGCAAGGTGATGGTTAAAGCTCTGAGCCTCACATGTTTCTATTTACCAGGTGAGCTAAAAATATGTATTGGTTGCAGATTTTAACTTGGGATTTCTTCCAAATATAGTCATTTGGTCATCTGGTTGAGTTTAAATCACATAGCATGATCATAGCGGTCTTATATAAAAATAAGAGGATGGTGGTCCTTTCCACTAAAGACCAAATAATGTAGAAAACAACTATAGGCCACCATGGAAATCAGATGTGCTAATCTAATCACATTCATAACTCAGATCCATAAAGCATGTTGAAACATGTGTAGCAGGATCTGCTTACCCTCCCAGAGCACCTGAAATCAGCCCCAGCTCTCTATGGGGTTCTTGTTGCTCAGTTTTTAGTTTTTGTATGTGCTGTTTTGTTTACTGAACATTGTTTTTTGTCAAGACGTCAGTTTTTCATTGACCAGAGTTTGAATATCCCTTGGTATTTCCTATTCTCTTTTGAAATAGGTGTTTAAAACTAAAAATGATCAGAATCAAATGTTACATTTGTAACTAGTCTTTGCTGATATCAGTTATATTGATTCATTTCCACCAGATGAAGGTTTAAATAATTCAACAATAACTTCAATACAATCTAAATAAATGAAAGAAAAACTGATTATTTGCTTATCTGGAAAAACACAGCTTGTTGAATTTCATTTTCATTTTCACTTTCATTTTCAGTATGCAGATTCCAATTATAAGATTTTTTTTTAATTTTTTTTTTTTTTTTTTATGAAGGTCATTGACTTGCATGACTCATAATTGACATTAACAGTAATAAATCAATGTCAGTGCATGTAAACATATCCAAGTTACTTGTTTTTCAATGTTTTATAATATTTCTTCTCCATTTATTTTAACATAAAAAAAACATGTACTTGTGTAAAACAATGACTAAAACTGAAATGTTCCTGAGACCAGGCCACATAAATTTGATTTCTAAAATTTTATCTCATTGCACATTAAAAGGGCACAGCAAAAAAAAAAAAACAATTTAAACCAAATTTAAAGATTATGTGTGTTTCCTCTGCCTCTATTTTTTTGTTTTGTTTTCTTAATCACATTGATCTAAAACAAATCAGAAAATTCAAAATACCAAGATTGAATCATTATAAATTCAACTTTGGTCGAAATAGTACAACTAATTACTTTTTACATATTTTTATTTGTTTTTGGTTTCTTCAATCATTTTATCACTTAATATTAATCTTTTCCAATATATTGGACAGGGTTGAAACACACACACTTTAAAATGGCCTAAATTTGATACAGTCAAATATATTTTTATAATCATTTTTTTTAAATTCTGTATGGGGGATTAGTTGGCAGATGAAAAAGCTAAAAATCAACTACATGTGGCCTATTGAGATTATTATTGGGCTGCAACCACTGTAGCTAATGCACCAAGTCCCATTGCAGTATAAACAAGTCCTTTCCAAATTTTATCTTCAACAGCTCCTTGCTCAGGGAAATAATCCACAAAGGCATCCTAAAAATAAATACAATAAAATATTATATATGTACATTCTAAATACCATCCTAACCTTTAATATTCAGATATATAAAATGTATTTTCAAGGTAATTACTCTACTTTTGGTTGATTAACTTCTTGTCATCAGACATTATCAGATACAGCAGTCATCGTGGTCAAAGAACTTCAATTTTTGTTACTTTTTTGTAAAAACATGTACATCTACACTGTACACAAAATGGAAAACAAATCATGTTCTACATTAATGTGCATTTTTTTCTTTATTAATAAAGTCTTACTTGAATAAACTTAATTACAGTCACAAAAAATTAAAATGTTCGATCCAAATCAATAGCAATACTACATTGCTACATGAGAACAGGTACCATGGTAGTACTGTACATTTTATAATTAAAATTTAAATGTTTTAGTTGACTGTATGCATCTTAAAAATTGGGTTTTTTTCCCGTGTAAAGAGTCTATAAACATGTAAATGTATCATCATGATCATTCTGAAACTTGAACATGTACCATTTGTTTACATTATAATAATATACATGTAATAAGTACTGGTGATTCATACACGTTATATACATAAACGTATATTGAATGTGTGTCTTTTATAACAACAATTACTTTAAATGCTTAAAGGACATGAAGGAGGTATAGCAGTAGAATGCAAAATGTACTTGGTCTATAAAATTCCAAAATTCATGTACATGTACCTATAAATAGCCCAATTACAAGAAATCATTTAAATATCCATTTAAACAAAATATGCCACTTTTGATCTTTATATCCTGTTTCACATACATTCAACATAAATACCTGGCACATGTACATGTTTAAAGGTTTGATCAGGTGATCAGATCACCTCACTTCACCCTTTGGCATGTTTGCCAAACATCTTTTTTCATATTCATATACCATAAACTGAATAAACTGAATAAACGTTTTGTGTATATTATACTGAATGGTCATAAAATGCTTGTAACATGTACCAATAGATACATTGTACATGTACAAATGTACATATTTGTAACTTCATGTCCATGGTGTACATTATCTGATTGACATGAAGTTATGTTTGTTAATTCAAGTCTGTTCACTTCATGATTATTGTACATGTTACACTGTACAGTCAGTCAAACGCAAGTGGATAGTGGGGACTGGCTGTCAGACTGCATGTACATGTATATGTACAGTTCTAGTGTACAGGTTACTTCAAAAAAAGGACCCAGTTTACCAGTTACCATCATTAAATTAATTTATAAATTCAGAGACAAAAAGTATTAGACACATAAGAAAATTATAGGAATATCAGTCTGTGGCCTAGTAGATGGAAAAGATTTTGGTGCAGACTGACTGAATATTTTTGAGATGTAAATTCTGACTTGAATGTTTGTACTTCTTCTTCTCTCAGTATAAGCTTCCTTTGTAAGGAACACCAAGGATAAAATCCAAGTATTGGTTATATTTACATATGTTTTTAAAAGTTAATGTCTAACGGTATTAATTATTATACACAGTACTAAGAACTGAAGAAAAGCCTATTATTGTAACCCTTTAATTATACAACAGACAGGGATCCTATTAATTAACTACATGTACATGTAGGTTTTGACTTGGCATGACATACATGCAAAAGATGCAAGGTCCTTGCATGTATATGCAAATGTATATGCATACATCATTAAATATATCTCAAGACACAAACATGTACAAGTATAATTTATCATATAGAATATACATATAGATGTCAGTTTTCTAGTTCTTACATTCGGCAAAATAACATAATACATGTAGGAGATAACGTACATTTATTCCTGTCCTGCTCTGAATGCCATTGCAAGTGGAAAATAAGACTACAGCAACTTATTTTAAAATTGAAGCTCAGTCATGCAAGTTTCAATTGGAATTTTGGAAAAGGGATATGGGTAGAGCTTGCTTGTGACTGGTGTGGTGGTAAAAGATCTAATTTTGATTCTTACCCATCCTCCATTATCAAGTATCCATCTACCAAGTTTATTTGCCACATATTTTCCAGCATACAGTGAAATTCTTTCATCACAATCTGGACAGGATTCTTTACAATGCTGTGCTAATCTTGCTGCAAATGTGTATACTGCCACTATTCTCCCCCAATTTATTTGCCCGTCTTCAAATATTTCATCGACAACTGAAACGAAAGTTGGAAAAGCGTTTGTTTCTGTTATTTGCAACTTATTCACCATTCCCTTGAAAGCAATCTTATGGCGATTTGAAAGTTCGTGAACAGTTCGTCTCATTGTTTTACAGTACTTATTGGATGGTTTCTTCTCCTCTTTTTCATAATTCATAATCACGTCCGTTGCAATTGTTTCTGACATTGTTCTTACATTTTCCAAAGGCGATCCACTACCCGGTGTTTGTGTTTCCTGGTCTAATTTATTCATGTCCTGTGACAATCCTCGAAATCCTGGCAACAAACCCAGTTGTTTATGAATATCGGCGAAGAAACTTGTTTTATAAGATCCATTTCCTCCACTATTAGAAGGGTCCATCAACGAGATCCCTTTAGTCGACATGATTGTCCTGTAAATTAACGGGGACTCGCCGTACTTTGGGCGAACTGTCCCTATATTCTTGATCTGTAAGTACGAATTAACAAAGATGGCTGAGGATCAACATCGACTTGAAACGACTTTTTATTGGTTCATACTAATCAAATGCGCAAGGCAAAACAAAGTGTTATTTTTAGTACCGAAGACGTCATACTTCTTATATTTAATTGGTCATTTATTTCAGGATACACCAAAACAATCATTCTGTATTTCACTCATGAACCAATCAGAAATTCTGATACAAAATAAGACCAGAAATAGCTGAAACTTTATTTACAGGGCTGTCCTACAGGAAGAAGTCGATTAAAAGTTTAGAAGAAATCCCTAACGCATCTGGTAAGATATTGATCAATCTATTTCCTTACGCGTAACAAACTGAAACTATGGGACTAGTCGTCAGACATAAATAGAAACTGTATATTTATGGACAATTGTAACAAGAGTGATAGGAAAGAAAAAAGGGGGAGGTTTGAATCAAAACAGAACAAGACATGAGTATTGTCGGTATCGGGTCCGTTCGCGCCCAATACACGTTCGCACCCTACACGTTCGCACCCCACACGTTCGCCCCCTAGGTCCGTTCGCACCCTACACGTTCGCACCTTTTTTTTTATTCAAAAACCTGATAAATTTTTAGATGTTTTGTAAAATATTTTTATTTTCATAAATAAAAATTCGGGAATTTTTAAATGAAATATTGTTTTAAATTGATTTGATGATTAATTATTAAATGTTAATTATGGTATGATTACTGCTAATTGGTATTTATACACAGCCTAATATGATGTTATTGTTGGGTGTTTAAAAATCATGATTGTTGTCATGGTTGTTTTAACTTGCTTTAAATGTAAATACTGCATGTATTTAGCTTGGTCTGAGTAAAACTTTGAAGATTTTAAATAAAAAACATGAAAGATGATTGTTTTTAACAGCTTGGCTCCTTTGATCTCATGTGTGTCAGAATCTCACTTTATTCATAAACAATGAAAAAAAATATTTATAGCAATACACTATCCAAAACATGATTACGAATTATTCAACATATAAAAAAAAACGTTGTCAGAATCCCATTTCCTTTTGAAACAATAAAAAAGAAATATTTATAGCAATACACTAACCAAAACATGATTAAGATTTTATCAACACCTAAAAAAACGTTGTCAGAATCTCACTTTATTTAGAAACAATGAAAAAAAAATAATTTATATATATATATATATATATATATTTGTTTTACATGCACACGTATAAAAATTGCGGTTTTTATCCAACGCAATCATAGGTTTGAACGTTGTTTTCAATTTAGACTTGTATATATATATAGATATATATAGAGCAATACACTTACCTAAACATGATTAAAAATTATTCAACACAAAACTAAAATACTGGTCGTCAGAATCTCACTTAATTTAAAAACAATGAAAAAAAAATGTTAATAGCAATACATTTACCATTTACCATGACACAAAAAAAACCTTGTCAGAATCTCACTTTATTTAGAAACAATGAAAAAATATATATTTATAGCAATACACTTACCAAAACTCGTTTACAAATTATAAAACACAAAACCAATAAAAATTGGGCGCGAACGTGTAGGGTGCGAACGGACTTTGGGTGCGAACGTGTAGGGTGCGAAAGTGAAAGGGGGGCGAACGTGCATGGGGGCGAACGTGATTGGGCGCGAACGGACCCGGATTCAGTATTGTCAAGACATGATCATGTCGATCCGGCCCCACGTCGATCCGGCCCAAGTCGATCCGTCCCACGTCGATCCGGCCCAACGTCGATCCGGCCCATATTTAAAGTCGATCCGGCCCCAATAAAAAAAATATATTTATAAGGAATAAAAATAAAGATATATATTAATTGTGATTCATAAATGATTATGAATTTTATTATAATGTAAAAGGTGTACGGTAAAAAAAATGGCCTTTGACAAATATTTTCTTTAGATGAATATAAAACAAGTTTTCAAAATTATTGGGTATAAATATAATAAAAACGTATATAACAGAATTTAGTACAATCAACAGACATCAACATTAATCAGCAGTAATTAGCATTTTCTTTCAATTGACTGTGATCTTAACAAGTCTTTCATCCTGTGTAATAACAAAATTAATAGTTACATACACAACGGTACAAGCCGATCCCCAAGCTGATACATACAAACTTTGTTTTTGTTTTAAGTTCTTAAAACTTCTCAAATTGAGAAATGTAGCTATTCTGTGTGTGAATTAAATAAAATAAAAATCGCCATGACATTCAAAGTTATCATGGAAAATAACTTCATATTAATATGTTGAAGCTGCTATACAAACAGACACAATCACACTCAGTTTCGTATCGATTTAAAATAATTCTTTGACTGGTTCACCAATACTTCACTTACCTGTTGTCATCCATCATCGATACTTTTTGCAAAATCCATTTATACTGTTAAAAATCCTCCAAAGTCAATATAGTTTATTCATATTTTATTATGGGGCCGGATCGACTTTGGGCCGGATCGACGTGGGCCGGATCGACTTGGGACGGATCGACTTTGGGCCGGATCGACTTGGGGCCGGATCGGTTTGGGGACGGAACGACCGGATACCTATCTATATATATAGTCTAACTTTACAAATTCTTGCAGTGACTTACAAATTGGAAGCCAAAGTCAACGATCTCACTAGTTTACAATATTGGACGATGAAATATAGTTGCAGAACCGTACTTGTAGCTCTTAGTCTTATGATATATGTTTTTGAATATTTGAAGACTATACATACCTACTTTAGTATACATGTAAGATGCAGTTTAACTATACATTTTTGTATGTACATTGTTAACTATACATTTATTGAACTGCATATAAACTGTACATCTCTGCTGAGATGCATATAACTCTGAAGCATATAAACTGACTTTGCATCTCTTAAGATGTGTATGATAAAGGGGAGAATGGGGGGGGGGGGGGGGGGGGGGGGTGTACGTTCATAATGAATAACAGTAAAAAATCTTGCAAAATTATGTTTAAGGTAATTTTTAGTGCATGACGATAAATGTACATTTTCTATATGATGATAAAAAATTCAACTGATTTTGACGAATCTGACATGCTAATTTTTTTCCCAAAATAAAGGTAACTGATTATTTGAGACCTCTGATGAATCACATTAATTTTGACTAATCACGATTGAATTTTAACCAATTTGATGTTAATGGTAGCCAAAAATGACCGTTTGAGCCTGACAGTTAAGGGTATTCCTACCCTCATAACATGCACATCTTTTATCATGTTTTATGATGCATATAAACCAGGGTTTCCCCTGGGTCAATTTTCTTTTTCGCCACCTCTTTCGTCAAAACAATATTTTTTTCACCAACTTACATAAACAAATTTTTGTTTTAAATTTTCCTACTTGCTAAAAAAAAATTAGGTTTGCATCATTGTTGTGTAATATATTATTATTCTACATATCGTTTTTTTAATCTTATCTTCTATGTACATTGTAATAATAAACCCTCATTATACATTGTTATATTTTGCTTTTTAAATGATACTGTAAAATGCAATATCAATCATGAAATCATCTGATTTGAGTTCTGGGAACACGGGATTCATCTTCAATAAGTTATTTGGATACTTCCCGTCTAGTTGAAAGATAAAGGCTAAAGTCTGCGATTATTCTTACTTTTGCACAATTTTTTCATAACAACAGTTTTCTTTTCGGCACCAAAAAAATAAAACGTTGAGATGTAAAACTAAGCTCCGAACACATGCACCATTAAAACGATTGTAAAGTGCCCACTTCAAAATAATTATTTCTATTAAAGTTAAAATAAAATAAAATTTATTTATTTTTATTTATTTTTATTGACAACCCTGCATACCATCGGGTATCCTCTTTAGTGACTCTACCTTCACTTCACCACAAAGGGGTTGGTTCAGTAGCTTCTTATTCTTATTCTATTAAAGTTGTAAAAAATCCTATAGGTGACAAGTGAAGCCATTTAACCATACAATTTTATTCTGGCTATTCCTACATTCTGAATTTTATAGGTAAAATAGTAAAATTTTATGTTGGAGTTCCCAAAATTTTTATGTAACCAATAAACAATGGGATTATGTAGGATTATGTTGTAACAACACTAAACTTATGAACCAAGGTAAATCTTGTGGAAAATAAAGTAAAAGAATAGTTTCTATTGCAATATTTTATTTAATAATTTCATTGCACATTTTGTTTTAAATAATATTTAAAAGCACAATATGAATTTATAGGCATTCACAAGCAATTGAAATTATTTAGGTGAAAACATTAATATATACAAGTAAATGATATCAATTGAAATATTTGAGTTACACTACATATTCATTGAAACAAAGCACCAAAAAGTATGCTTAATTGAGGTTAAAACAGAGCACTAACACAGTAATACATTGCACTTAATTGAACACACAAGAGAATACAAAGTCTTAATCAATGTGCAGGGGATCATTCTGTTACTTTGTTTTCAGTGTTTGAATATAAAAATAAGAAGATATGGTATGATTGCAAATGAGACAACTCTCCACAAGAGACCAAATGACACAGAAATTAACAACTATAGGTCACCGTACTGACTTCAACAATGAGCAAAGCCCACACTGCATAGTCAGCTTTAAAAGGCCCCGAAATGACAAATGTAAAACAATACAAATGAGAAAACTAACAGCCTAAGTTATGTACAAAATAATGAACTAAAAACAAATATGACATTATGTTACACAGCAACAAATGACAACCACTGAATAACAGGCTCCTGACTTAGGACAGGCACATACAGAATTTGGCGGGGTTAAACACATTTGAAGCTCCAAACCTCCCCTAACCTGGGACACTGGTGTAACAGTACAACATAAGAACAAACTATAAAAATCAGTTGAAAAAGGCTTACTCATCAGATGGATACAAATAGAAATAAATCTAACAAAAACACAGAGTGGAAGGCTTTTCTTGTCTCAACAACTTGATCATGCTGAAGATGTTTGGGTGAGGTGCACGTGCATTGACTAACTTCTTCCGTTTACTATGCCAACCTTCTAAATGATTTGTTCTTCTAGGACCTTCTGTTTTTGTTTAAAAAATCATGATTTATTCAAATAATGAAGTTAATTAAATATTTGAAGCTAAGTTGAAAGTGTTGGTTACTATTAAACACTTTTACTACCTTTTTGTTTTAAATAGGTTTTTCCAGACTTTTAAATGCTTTTACTACTTTTTTTTTAAATAATTTTATTTTCCAGACTACTAAATGCTTTTACTACCTTTTCTCTTAAATAATTTTATTTTCAAGAAATT